CAAGCATGGGGAGCTGATGGTGGGCAATGGATTTGTCCACTAAGAAGGCCAAACCTCCGCCTTTGTTGCGCCCGCGGTCGCGATGGACGATCATGTAGTCGGCACGAACGGACCTTGGTGGAGTTAGTCCACTTTGTCTCTCGGATAGCCACTACAGCTATGCCGTGCGAATGCCTGAAGGCCAGAAGCTGGTCATGCTTGCCAAGGAGGCCGTTGACGTTGAACGGGAGGATGCTTGCGTTGAATTTGTGCTTGGTTGAGTCTGTTGGTCGTTGCTAACAGCCATAACGGAACATTTGTGCCAAGAAAGAGAAAGGCTCCATGTACAACACCGCTGAGTAAAGGCTTGAAGATCCTTCTTACTTGCTCGAGCATGATATTGCGATCTGCCGGTTTATATTGATAGGCAGCCTTTACATCGTCAGCGTATATAAAAGGCTAATTATACTGAAGACACTGAGGAACATCGTTGGCGAAAAGGTAAAATAAGAGCAAACCAAGCACGCTTCCCAGGGTAGTCTCAGGAGGAGGAGGAGGAGGAAAATATTATAGTCAGAACGATCCAAAGCCTTAGTGAAACCGAAATAGACGGCGTAACGTTCAAACGTATTGTCCCTAGGTTGTAAAGGATTATCAAAGAACGACAACTGGGAGGTATCACAAGACATTTTTGAAGACCCATGCTGAGCCGCTCTCGATAAGTTATTCTCTATTGAGTGACACATCATCTTGGCCTCGATCACGATCTCCAAGATATTCAATTTTGCGGCAAGTACGTTACTTGGCCTAACTTCATCATATGACATGCAGATTGGCCGTGTTTGGGGATAGGCAGCATGTACGATTCCTCAACGTTTTGCTCCCGAGAACAATGTTAAATATCTTACACAGTAAAGTCGGAAGAATTTCATTTGGACCAGCCTTTAAAAAGCTGACCAGGACGTCGCCTGGTCCAGGACTATGAGCTTGACGAAAACGTCGGTCACGCACGGTCACGCCCCAGAGGGTAAAGGTTATGGTTCTGAAGTATCAATGAATTCTTATATGACCCGCAGGCCCACAATACGTTTGCTTTCCGGTACAAACGATAAAAAGACTTGTTCTCTGTCGATTTGACTGTCCAGGAAGACGCATGGAAGGTACGACTCCTGCTCCATAACCTGAGTCCTGCTGAGCACGAACGTTATTCTAACTTCATTGCGCCTAAGAATCCTCGAGGTGTCTCTTTCAAGGACACGTTGAAGATATGGTCGCAGATTTTTGGTGAGCAGTTATCAGATTTCAACACTCGATTCCAGTGCCTGCACTTGTGCAAACGGGAATCTGATGATTTCAACACGTATGTCGGCATTGTCAATCGCAAGTGTGGGCGTTTCCAGCTCGGTTCTCTCACAGAAGACCAGCTTAAATACCTCATATTCATCTGCAGCCTCCAGTTCCCCAAGAATGCTGCCATTCGGACACGTCTTCTGTCCCAAGAGCAGCATAGCAGCTCAATCATCCTCCAAGAACTGGCTGCCGAATGTCAGGTAATAAGCAATCTCAAACATTATTCGGTCATGATCCAAGACACTTCATCTGCTTACTCAGTCAGTGCGGTCGTAGCAGTTACGCCTCATCCGGTTATGACGCCCAAACAAGCCCCCAAGGCGCAATCCCCACCCTCTTCTTGTCGGCACTGTTGCGCGTGGCATTTCTACCGGAATTGCACATTTCGGCAACATAGTTACCAGAACTGTAATCATGTGAGGCACCGTTATGGGTTCTGCTGATCCTCAACTTGTGTGAGCAAGCTTTCCCCGCCAATTCCAATTCAAAGCACCGTTTCAAACCTAAGTGCAAGTCAAAAACTTAGTCTCTTGGCAATTCTCTGAGTCTGTTGGTCACATTTCCAGGTAAACACAGCTGATCGTTGGAAGTTTGTTAAGCTGTTGATCAACGGTCACGCAGTTCACTTAAAACTGGAGACTGCTTCAGATATCACCATCATCTCTGAGCGACTCTGGAAATCACATGGCACCCCCACAATGCAGCAGATCTCTTAGTCCGCCGCAATTGCGTGTGGTGATCTTGTAGAGTACGAAAAAGTTCATCCGGGAACCTGAGATAGGGGTATTCTAACTGTTACGAACCAGTAAATAATAACTAAGTCGTGTTCAGATAAAAACACGTGCTTGTTAAACGTCTTATTTAAAAGATGTGACACGTTTATTCAGATAATATTTAACCGAGTAAAACAAACATACAATTTAATGGCACTACAGCCTTGTCCAAACAATGGGACGACTGCAATGCTAGGTTTCCTTCCACAGCACTAACGTCACTGCTACTTCTACATAAGTCACTTTAAGTCACTTTATTAAGGGAAAAAGGCTTTCGCCCTTGAGCTCCCCATTCATAACCAAAAATCGCAAAAAAGGTCCACCGTAACAATAGTACATAATA